TCTGTGGTCATTTGTTATGCAACATCAGAAAATGAATAAAGTTTTATGATGTGTCTCTCACTAAGAAAAAAAATGAACTCAATGAGAGTAGGGGTCTTTTCTCGGTTATATTTGCTGAAAGATTCCAAACTATTCCAAAGTCCTACAACAGATACATAGTAGGGCTTCAATAAATATTTGTGAAATAAATAAAGGAAAAAAAATAAGGCTAGAATGGTAACAAAGTTGTAAGGACAGTAACAAATCAGTAAGAAAAAAAATGGCCAGAAACCAGAAATGAGCAAATGTTAGGCTAATTGACTTAGACTCTCATTTCTACTCAGATACTATTGATGCAGCTGTGGCTATATTTGTGGATTAGCTCCTTGAGGGATGAGAAATGCAGAGTTCCAAGAGGGGCCAAATTTATAAAATATGATTCTATACAGAAGTATATCAAGAGCATCTTTAAGTTTCAGAGTTATAATCAACCGACCTGTTTGTGGGTGGGTACTTTAGTTACCCTGTATTCTCTAAAATTTCTGCAATATACTGTAAGACTTTGAAAATAAGGAAAGAAAACCCAATAAGATTAAAATTTTATGAAACAATATCCTGAAAGCGCAAACGAGCTAGGTGGATCCGTGCATTTTGGGCTCTGTCTAATCATGCTTTGCGTTTAGTCATTTCTCAGTTGTGGATGACCTAGTTTTAAAAACAGCCAACTAATTTCGGTAAGATTCCCCATGGAGTTGAGCTTATTTGTTTTTTTTTTATTTAAATCATTTTAAAAAGCCAAATGACATGTTCCAGAGGACAAAATAGGACATATTTTTGACTCAGATCCCAAATGCAGTCCTTACCAAGAGGCTGCCTTGTTTACGTCTGTGTGTGATGATGTGCGTATGCGTGCGAGTGTGTGTGAATATTCCTACATACCTTTGTGTGTGTGAACCCTGGGTCCCAAGGCACTCCACTTACAGTTCCCATTCACATGACTTTTCCAAATAGGAGTCTCCTTTGAAATGATGCCATTAGAAACAGATGTAGAGCAGGGACATCCTTAGAGGGATTCAGGGATTCAGGGCTATCACCCAGAAATGTGGTAAGAAACAAAACCAAATATGGAGCCTTCAAGGGTTTATGATCCAGATGAAACTCACCTCCGATGAAATTCATGGAAGGCTTAGAAGGAAAAGCTGCACACCATGGTTGGGTCAGGGAAGATTCATTCACTTATTTGTTCAACTAATAGTGGACTCCTACAGTGTGCTAGGAACAAAATACACTAGTGAACAAAACCTAGAATGATCCCTGCTTTGTGGGGTTTACCTTTGAGTGGGAGGTAGAGGGGAGACCCATAATACATAAATGAATTAATTCCACTGACATGGTGATAAGTGTCTTGTAGAAAACAACAAGCTGAGTCAGAGTGACAAAGAGATGGTATTTAAGAAAGGGTGGTCTGGGAAGCTTCTTTGATAAAGGGGTATTTGAGCGGAGGTTTAGACAAAGGGAGGTGCCGGCAGATATCCAGAGAAAGAACATTTGAGCAGAGGGAAAAGCAACTGCAAGACTCCAAAGTGGGGGCTTGTTTGAGATGATGAGGATCATACTCTCATCCCTGTTCCCCTGAGTCATACCTACTAAGGGCGCAATTGCAGTCACATCTGTTGTAAGCTGCCAGCCACAGCAATTGCTCTTGAGGGAGCTGGATGGGCAGAAGGTGGACAGGTGAGATTAGCAGTTGGGTGAGATCTTAGTGAGATGCCCTTCAAGGCGGGAGATTAGCAGTTGGGTGAGATCTTAGTGAAATGCCCTTCAAGGCAGGAGTGACCGGAGCAACTTCAGGGACATCTTCTCACCCATGTTTTTAGAATGCAAGTGTTTTCAATGAAATGTGGGAGGAAGTGGGAAGCAGAGAGCCCATGTAGTAGGATAATGCCATAATTCAGTGAGAGTTGGTGATGGCTGCTACTAGTACGTAGCAGCAGGAACAGAGAGAATCATTTGCCTTCTGGGTATATTCAAAGATAGAGCCAACAGGGTTTTCTGGTTGAATGGATGTGGGGTATGAGAGAAAAAGAAAAATGAAGCATGACTGCAAGGTTCTAAAAAAATATTTGGGGGCCAAATAGATGGACGAATGGAGTTAGGGTTTTCTGGGATGAGGAAGAGCAGATGGGAAACAGATAACTGGGAGGTGGCTCTCAGGTTAAGTTTAGACGTCTGATCGACATCTGAACGCAAATGCCAAGTGGACAGTTTGCTGCATGAGCCTGGAGTTCAGTGGGGGTCTACTCCAGAGATGCAGAGTTCAAGCCACCAGTCTGTAAGTGGCATTTGAGGCTGTGGCACAGAGTAAGATCATCTGGGAAGCGAGTGAAAGACAGCTGACTGAGGACGGAGCCCAGGGACAGAGGTCAGGAAGACAAAGAGGAACCAGCAAAGGAGGCCAGATGGAGCAGCTACGGAGGAGGGAGAGCCAGGTCCAAAGGAAATGAAGAAACCGAGGGAGAGATCAGTTCTGCAGAGTTGTTCATGACTACATGAGCAAAGAACTGAAAGTGTCCAAGATTAGGATCTGGCACACGAAAGCAAAGGCACATGTACATTTGACAAGATCAATTTTCCTGCACTAGGAGGTGAAAGGCTGGTTGGAGTAGATACAAAAGAAAAGGTTGGGGGGGAGAGGTGGAGATACTAAATATAGACGACTCTTTCACAGACTTCGGCTGTAAAAGAGCAGAGAAATGCAGTGTGGCTAAAGAGGGATTGTGGGGTAAAAGATTTTAAATGACGCATATTTATATACTATTGATATTAATGTTCTAGTAGTAGGAAAAAATGATAATGGCAAGAGAGAGAAGAAACAACTGCATGAATAAAGCCCTCGGTCAGAGAAGGTGGATGCAGGGCAGATGGAGCAGCTGGTGGGAAGGTGGACCGGTCACCTACCGCATCGGGTAGAAATAGCATCCATATGCAGGACCATTAGGGCATTCAGTAATGGCAGCCCAATTTCAGCTTATTCCAGCTACATAATAAAATCAAAGGGAACATTTTTAAAAAATAGCAATGAGAATGTAAATTAAAATCACCATAGTGGGGTGTGATGGCACAGGCCTGTAATCTAGCAACTGGGGAGGCTGAAGCAGGAAGATCACAAGTTCAAGGAAGCCTCAGCAACTCAGTGAGACCCTGTGTCAAAATAAAAATGAAAAAGGGCTGGTGATGCAGCTCAGGGATGAAGTTCAATCCCAAGTACCAACAACCCCCACCCCTCAAAATCACCAGTACTACATACCTGTGAGTATGGCCAAAATAAAAACTATCCACAATACCAAGTTCTGACAAGGATGTAGAATGACTGAAACCACCATACACAGCCGGTGGGAGTGTAAAATGGTGTAGCCACTTTAGAAGAAGTTCAGTAATTTCTTACACATGACCCAGCAATCCTACTGCAAAATATTGACCCAGGAGAAATGGAAACATATTCACACTGAAACCTAAATAGGCAGGCTTATAGCAGTTCTACTACTACAACCAACCAAAGACCAGAAGCAATCCACATGTCCTTCAACAGATAAATGGATACATGAGTCACACCTCCACACAAGGGAACACTATTCCACCTCAGTAAATAGGAACAAAGTGTTGATAAACACCACAGCGTGGATTGATCTCAAGGACACTAGGCAGAGGGAAAGAGTCCAGTCTCAAATGTTACACACTGAACAATTCCATTTATATCGCATTGCAGAGAAGGCAGAGTCAACACAGATGGAAAGGAAACCAGGAGCTGTTGCAGGAAGGGCAAGAGAAGCACGTGATGATGAAGGAGTACTTGAGAGCCTGATTTGGGGTGACGGATTTGTTCTGTGCTCATTTGTTAAAACTCATCCAATTGGACATCAATACAACTGATTAAGAAGCCTAATAAAAAAGGCTGTTTTACTATATATTAGTTTTTTAAAATAATTTTTCAGTCGTAGCTGGACACAATACTTTTATTTATTTTTATGTGGTGCCGAGGATTGAACCCAGTGCCTCACACATACAAGGCAAGTGTTCCACCGCTGAGCTACAGCCCAGCCCTATATGTTACTTTTTTAAGTGTCACCAGTATTAAGAACTATGGGGGAGCATGTGGTGGGCAGCCTTTATTCTGGGTGGAAGCTGCAGTGGAGAGGCCCCCTGCCAGCAAGGATGGGTGATTGCACTTGGCTACCCTGCCCACCCTGCCAGTCCCTGACTCCTGGACATCCTGCACATGACTTAATAGCCTTCAGGGAACCCCTTCCTTGCTAGAAATTCTTTAAAATAACAAAGAGTAACTGCACTGCACCCCTCACCTTAATTAGAAGGAAATGTATGGATTTTTTTTTTAATTTAAAACTTTTTCTTATGCTTTACAGACAATTCTATTTCGCAGCCAGGGATAAAGACCCTCCAGTCAGATGAAGAGTGTGGAGGTAAGATTCAGCAAGAGTTCAGTGGTGTTTTCCTGATGGATGACTATAAGCGGCAGAGGGCATTGGGGCTAGACATGGCGGGGTGTGTGGCCATGGGGCATGGGGTGGGGCAGCCACTGGTCATCTGGATTTTCCGTCATGAGATTAACTGTTGGGGTCTTTAGGCAGATTGAGGCAGGGAAGCTGTGAGTGCTGGGGGGAGGCGGGGTCTTGACGGCAGCTTTATGGATCTTTCCCTGTAAGCTACACTGACAGTTGCAGAGACTACGAGAGAACGTCTCACTCTTTTCCTCCAATAATGACAGGAGAGGGAATGTGGTTGTGGAAAAACCATTTATATATGGTCAAAGCTGACATGATTAAATTCACACGATAAATACATTCACACACCTAAAGTCCTTAAAGCAGTACCCGGTGCTTAGTAAAACCTTAATAAAGTTTGGGGAGGAAAGGAAAGGGGTGTCTGAAGACATTTTTTTCCCCTGTGCATCAGTGTAAGAAATGATTATGTCTTCAAAGATTTGATACGGCTGACACACCCACCCTGTTTATCCGTCCAATGGATCTATTTTCCTGGAGTTCCCGGAATCTGGGCTGGGTTCCATGATTTGGCACACTCTCAGGTAGCTCTATTTGTAGCAAAAAGTTTCCAGCAAATGCAGTCCAGAAGATCAATGGTCCAGAACGTGTCTCTGGGACTCTGGATGGCTGAAAACACATGGGGGAGACAGTCCACTGAGCTCAGACCCAGAGTTTGGGGTTCACTGTCCAGAGCTTCTCTCTCTCTCTCTGTTTTAGATCCCTTTCCCACAATTGACCCAGCAGAGCTCTGTGAGTGGATCACTCCATGGGAACCAGGAGCAAGTAGAGAACGTACCTTGAGTTTATTCTCTTGGGAACCTCACAAGAGCAAACTCCTCATTGAATGCTCAGAGGCAAGATAAACCTCCTGTCTGATTTGCAGATAATCTCAGATGCATGCTGGGAAGGGGTCCTTGCTGTGTGCTGCTTGGCTTCCTGTAATCCCCCTTTGATGACAATTCCATGAGGCAGGTTAGGTGAGGAAAAAGGTTTTACAAATGTGGAAGGGAAGGTTCTAAAAGAGATTTGCTAAGGCCACGGAGCTAGTGAGCAACAGGACTGGGATTTATGTCCCCATCAGACCTTTCCTCTCCTGAAGTTCTGTGACCTCTGGCCTCGCTCTGGAGTACACTAAGTCTCGGTGGCAACCATTACGCTCAGTCCTCCTCCTAACTGCTTACTTCCTCTTGGGAAGAGTCATCCAGGGAGAGGTAAACTCAAGTTAGATCTTCTCTCAGCAGTTTGCATGTGCTGCCTCCTGTTTCCCTAGCCCCAGTGTCCCAGGGGTTTGCAGACCCAAAGTGGCACCTCAGTTCACCCACATCCTTGCTCCCAGACCAATCTGTCTCCAGGCATCGGGGTCCCCAACCAGCTGTTTCTGTGAATCACATCTTCCTCTATCTGTCCCCAGGGCAGGATGTGGGGAAATCACTGACCTATGACTTAAAAAGAAACACAGAGAACAACAAAAAGCAAGCACAGGATGACTGTTCAGCAGAAGACCACGCCTTCTCAGGAGCCCCTCTCTGCTCTGCAGATCTGGTCATGGAACACGCTGGGCCCGTCTCTGTCTGGATCCAGCTTCTTATTGCTCTTCTGTGGGCACCAGTCTTTGTCTGACGAGAGAGTGTCTTTTGCTGAGAGGTTCAGGTTTAGTACTAGAGGGGTCATCTTGGATAATTCATCTGGAAGGCCAAGGGAGGTCGCACAGTGGGGAAGGTCAGAATTAAAGCCAGGCCTTTTGTCTCTTTATTCAGGATTCTTCCTGATAACAGTAAAAGGGCCATTTCTAGAAATGCTAAATTTCTGTCTGGAAAACAAAATAAAGTTGTTTTTTTCTTCTTTTTTAATAATTGGTGGATATATTCACCCCTTTACTCTGAAATTCCCAAAGCTGGATCAAATTCTGGAAACAAAACTTCTCAAACAGGTAAATAGAAATAAAAAAATGTTTTCAGAGGTACGAGCACTTTCATCTCCACCCTGACCTTTATTGATCTCTTACTGTGTGCTGTGCCCTACTTTTGTACTTAAAAATGTGTTAGACAGACATTCAATCATGTGAATTTAATCATGACCACATTAAAGACATTGTTAGAAAATCAAAGCATCGACTAACATCTAGGTGCAGATGCTAAACTGAGTGTTTTCCATGTTATCTTATTGAACCCGAAATTCAAAGGGTTCTAGAACCAATCAGCAGCCCCTCACTTCAGTGTCTCTTCTTGAGTATCTCAGCAGCCCAACAACTCCAACATGTCCTGAAAGAAGCAAATCCCCCCCGCCCATCATCAGAAGCCCCTCCCAGTGACCTCACCTAATAGTGTCTCTTACACACTTGCCTGTCCCAGGAGCGACTCCAGCTCTTCCATTAACTAGCACTCCATACCTGATCCAAACCCAATTCTCTGGGTTTTACCTCCCGGATCTCTGACAACTCCATCTATATTTCCCCATCTCTGCCAGACTACCCCAGCCCCAAATATCATCATTCCTCACTTAGATTCTGGCAGAAGCTTCCTAACTGGTCCGCCCAGCTCTACCCTTGCACTCCTTAGATTGTTTCACAAATTGTACCCAGGATCTCCTTAATAGTCAGATAGGAACATATCTCTTTCTAAAATACACTAATAAGTTCCTATTGCTCTTTGGAAAAAGAAAAAAAAACAACTCCTTAATATGGTCAAGAGGGTTGTGTATGATCTGACGGAAGCTTCCCTTCCTCAATCTCTAGAACATTTCCCACCCACTCCAGTGACAATGTTTTTCCTCTAGTCTTGTTACATATCATGATCCCTGCAGTCACAGGACCTTTATACATGCTGCTTCCCCACTTTTTCTAGATAAATCCCCCATCCTTCAGCCTTTTTCAGCCTGCCCTAACTTTTTTTTTTCTTTGAACCTAGGGGCACTCTACCATTTAGCCACATCCTCACCCCCTTCAATTTTTTTTTTTTTTAAGTTGCCCAGGCTGGCCTCTAGGATTCCAGGTGTGCACGGTCATAACCAATATTTCCTACTTTTAAGATCAATTGAAATCTCTCCCATTCTATCTCCTCATAAAACCAGGGAGCTCTCATTTGTAATATTGATCATAGTTATAATTTTTTTTTATATTGGGGATTGAACCCAGGGGCACTTAACCACTGAGCCACATCCCAGCCCTTTTTATATTTTAGTTAGAAACAGGGTCTCACTAAGTTGCTTAGGGCCTCACTAAATTGCTGAGGCTGGCTTTGAACTCTCAATCCTCCTGCCTCAGCCTCCCGAGTTGTTAAGATTATAGGCAGGCGCCACCATACCTGGCCTCAGTTTTTAACTTATTTGTGTGATTCATATCTTTCTTCTTCACCAGACAGCACACTCTAAAAGTATCTATATTTACTCGAAATTGAATTCCTACTTCTAAGAATAAAGTCTTAACCTGGGCATTCACCTGATAGGTATTGTTCAAAAGATGAATAAAGTGAATAAACAGATTTACCCAAAATGGTAGAAATATCATTTGTACTGTCACTACTATTTCAGTATATTTTATACTGACTATAGGAAATCTCCTGCATGTGAAGGGGCGACAAACTCAGATGCACCAAGGGTCAGACAAACATTGTGAAAGAGGGGACAGACGTCACCTAAAGAGGGTAGCAGTCACGGGGATAAGACCCAGCAATGATCAATAGAAGCTGAATTTGTGAATTTTATAGTGTTTCTTACAGGTAGAGAAAACACCAATGTGGCCAGAAAGATGAAGAAAAGGAATGAAGAGGCTTTGTTAAATGTTGCTTGTAAGGTGTGGTGGGCTGAAGAGTATGTCCCCAACACTCATTTCCACCCGGAACCTCAGAATGTGACCTTATTTGAAAACAGGGTCTTCACAGGTGTAACTATTAAGGGTTAAGGTGAGAGCATATTGGATTGGAGTGGGCCCTCAATCCAATGGTGAATATACAGAAAGAAGAGCGTGCACAGAGAAGTCCCCAGACACCCACGCAAAGAGTGCAGGACGTTGCCACATGCCAAGCAAGGTCAAGGATTGAAGCAGCCACCAGCAGCTGGGAGAGAGGCCGGGAACAGATTATCCCTCAGAGTCCTCAGAGGGCGCCAAGCCTGCTGCTACTTGACTTCAGACCTTTGGCCCCATGAACTGCGAAAGAACAGATTTCTGTTGTTTTGAGACACCTTCTTTGCGGTTATTGGCTTGGGCAGCTATAGAAAATGATCACAGCAGATTTTAAAAAGTCAGAACTGAAAACCAGTTGGATAAGATTTGGTTCCTTGCCTGAATCCCTGTCCCTGACATCCAATCCATGCTGGGAATGAGGAGGGAATACCCTGGGGCACTTAGCTGCCTGCAGGTCTGCCCAAGGTGTGGGGTAGAGGGACTTCTAGTTCTTGGCCAACCCTCAGGACTGATTCTGGCTGAGCACAAGACTAAGGAGGAGTTTGGCTCTGCTCAGGCCAATACCGTGACACAGTTTAGAGGACAGGGAGCCAGGTGGAGGCAGGGCCTGGCCAGATGGGGAAGCTGGGGACAGTGAACAGCTGGGGAAATGAATTGGACTGCTGAAGCCAGACCCAGCACAGTCCCAGAGAGCCCCAGGCTATCCAGATAGAGGTCAAGGTCAGGTGCAGTTCAGAAAAGCACATCAGGAGGCCGGTCCAGCCAGAGGGAAGCTGGCCAGGGCTTCCAAGCAGAGAGTGATAAGAGAAGAGTCACGTGGAAGTACCTTGTTGTTCTAAGAATCCTGTCTGTTCTCGGCTGGAGCCTGGTAGCTGGAGAAATGTGCACCCTGAGAAGAGGGTGGCCAGGAGTCTGGATCTAAGGAGGGCCATCGAGTGCTTCATTCTAAAACACTGGACACTTTTAACTGGACTCTGAGCAGCTCACCTCCAGCTGCCCCCTTAATTGACTTACTCTTTCACTTACTACCCTGTGTTTCCATTTCTTTATCTACTTTCCTGCATTCTTTATAAAGCTGTTTCTCTGTTATCATTTCATAGGTTGCTTTAGGCTTGCTCCTCCTTGTCTACATGGGAATAATGTCAGCATTACCCCAACACCTTCCTAAGCAGTGGGCTGTGGAAAACTCTCCCCACCTCAGTTCCTTTAACATCAGCCCAGTCCTACTCTTTAAAAAAATAACAAAACCACAAAATTACACTTCAGCAAAAATGACTGTTTTTAAGTGTGCACCTGCTTCCCTTGGACACACCGCTTGCTTTCAAGTGAGCTTTAGTTCAGATGCACAGCAACCACTGAGGACAGTTTGGCAAATAATAAGAAGGTGACTGTGATTAGGGAAAACCTCAAGAGATTAAGAAATTACCTACTTAATTTGTGTATTTGTTCTTTCCAACAGTCTAGTGTGTGCCAGACAATCTCCTAGGCACTAACATGGAGCAGAGAACAAAGCAAATGAAGTCCAACTCCTTGCCCTCGAGGAAAAGACAGTAAACCTATATGCCAAAGCCATCTGGTCTGTAGATCCATAAGATCTGGGGCTGTAGATCCATAGATCCATAAGAGCCAAGAGTTACAGAACAGAGAATTAGAGTGGCTGCTATTTTAGACCACGTGCTCAGGAAAGTCTAAGATGTGAGTCCTGAGCGAGCAAAGAGCTTCTGCATGAAGTCAAGGGTCTGAACCAATGATATGTGTTTGGGAGAGAGGTCCAGTCTGAAGGGAGGGCCTTGTGCTAGGCACTGTTAAAACAAGCGACTGGCTACTTCCTGTCTCTTCTGGAAATAAAGGTGTTCATGGACCTTGTGCCTGGGACCCTCCATACCCAGCTGCCCACTATATTTGGGTCATGGAAGCAGCTCAATGTGGCTGCCACACCCTTTGATAATGGAACCAAACCTGGCCCTCTGACATATTCACATTGCAAGAAAGAGTAGCCCCCTGTGTCCTTGGAACTCTGTCAGATGCCCTAATGTTGGAGGAGGCCACCAGTATCCCAGACTCCTTGGCCACCAGGGGAGCCCTTGGTGTTAACCAGGTGAACAGCAATGGGAGTCTATGGACTGTGCAAATGGAACTGCCAGCCACCAGAAATGTCCAAGCTCAGTGGAATATTGCCATTTTCTGTCCCTTAGCTGGATGTAACTGATAAAAGATAGGACCCAAGGAGCATCACACTTGGACAAATTCCAGGCACTTATCCTAGCACTGGATGCCTTAGAAAATTCCCTATTTTGATCCATACCTCAATTTCTCTTAATTTACACTCCATGGCCGACTCATAATTATACCCACTTTAAACACTTTCCCATCACCTTTCCCTATATTTAAGGGGAGACCTGTCTTGCTGCCACAAATAAAAAGATTCATTATATTTTAATCCCTTTAACAAAGCCACTCTTTCTTTAAACATGTTTTATTTTGTCTTTATCCCATACAGACTAGAGATCAAAGGTACATCCCTTCCAGGTATCCATTAACTATAGACAATCCCTTGGGTCAGGCAGCTACTCATCTGATATGGGACCAATTTGAGCATAAACTTTAACTCTACAGAAACAGAACATGAACTCCAAGCAAGCTATGATTTTGAGCAAACATGACAAATGTTAAGGCCCACATGCTCTTAAGTTTGGCTAATACAAACCCTATAATCCAGAGACCATCACCAACTCTGTGGTTTGAACTGCTCCCTCCAAAATTCAGGTATTGAAACTTCATGGGCAATATGATGGTATTAAGATGGGGGATTTGAATGAGTGGTTAAGTCAGGAGGATTCCTCTCCTCATGAATGAAATAAGGCCTTTATTACAGAGGCTTCACCTGTGTAAGCAA